TACAAATTGTTGGAAGACGTCCAAAGACTACATAAATCATTCCAGCGAGGGCTCCATCATCTTTTTGATGTGAGCTTCAGAGTATTTATTTGTAGAATCACGGTACCTATTACAAATCCTACAAAGTGATTTTAAAGTTGGATAATTGCCAGACAAGAAATTTCCAAGTTCCATTCTTAATTGAAGAAGCCATTGTCCATGAAATCAAAAATACTGGTTTTTAATTTACCGTTAGGGATAGTTTGTATAAAGACATACATTTTGATGCTACCGGAATTTGGAAAAAAATATTTTCAAAGTTCTTCGGAGTTTTTTTGGATCCAAATTTATTTACACGACTTCTAAAAAATGACAAATTTTTACCTACAATAATATGACGAACAAACTTACTACACTGATTCAGAGTATGCAAATTTTAACATATCTGATCGTAATTTTTCTCCTATGCATCTGCTTAACTTTTCAAGCATAATTTAATAAATTTACGTATTTATAGGAACTGATGAAAAACTAATTAAATCCATTTTTTCTACTATTAAGATTTAAAAATAACAACAAAGGAAAAAAATAGATTTTTAAAATTCCCAAAGTGTTAATATTTCTAAGCTGTATGTTAGACAGTTTAAAGTTAAAGGATTGATTTCATTGTATTTTAAATTTAACAAATTCAACAACAGAATTATAGCCTCTTTGTAGAAATACAGGGATTTATAAATGAGTTCTAACATTTCATTTTGAACCTAGAGCACTTTTATAGATCCTAAATCAATAAATGAAATGTAGCATAGGTAGGGTTTAAAAAGCCAATAGCGTACAAAATTATTCGTTTTAAGATGATTTACTTTGAAAAGGTAAAGGAAACTTTGCCGCCTTGCTTGATTTTTTTTTTTAAAGTGAAGTTAGGGGAATTAATTTTAAATCAGAGTTATATAAATTATACCTATATATTAACGAGACGAAGTCTAATTATTTCTATCCTAGATATTTTGATAAATTTTATTGAATAAACTTTCAGTACTATACTAATTATTTTAAGGAAAAATAATCGATGTTAACCATCCTAATTTTTTAGCGGGGCATCTCAAAAGTTGTAGAATTTTACTATTGAACCCTATTGGAATTTGTTGGAAAAATCACCAAATTATCCCACTTTTCGATATTTTTTTGTATTTCTGCCCTAGGGATTTCTTTTAAGTCAAATACATGAAAGGTATTGTAAAAATTCAACAAATTGTGAAACTCCAAAAAAGTCGACCATGCATCTGGGGTGGTCTAGGGACTATTTCAGATTTTTTTTTCAATGCCCAATACCTATAAATTTGCCATAATGTCGTGTACATTTGTAAATATTGGCGCAGATGAATTATTTTGGAAAAAATAACAATGTTTAGATTGCGGGTATGTTTCTTTTGATGTTCTGTCGACCGTTTTTTTGTATAAAATGTCCATTGAAGTCTTGAACACTCAAGCAAGTCATGAGTCATGCTTCAGCGTCATGCATTGCTTACAGAACTGGTAAACAGTGACGTCATTAGAGCCATTTCAGCGTTTATTCCTAATTATTGTATTAAAAGCATATTTTAAGACCCAAAGACGTTACAGATAATGCAATATAATGTTAATTTTGTATTAAAAATACAATACTAAGAAAAGGTGTTATGCTGCACTTACGACCGCATGAAATTAAAAAGCTGCGCAAAATCGTACGCACTCGAATTAGACTCGGTATCCATAAGTTGTGCAGTAATAGGTCATAAAACAATCAGAGGTACATGTACATGTAGCATACGCGGCTAGAAAAAGGCTATCCGTATTAATATCAAACTGTTCTATAACTGTAGTTACTTCTCTGAACTAACTAGATATGACGACATAATAGCACATGACGTCAAGTTACTGCATACTTGAGCTGACAGGACAAGGAAAGTGTCATTTCTTTTACATTCCCTTCACATGCATGTTGATTTTTTTGCATTGATGTTTAATTCAAGTATCTGGTCTGTTTTTTAAGCTTAATTGTGCTGTTATGATGTTGAACATTCAATTTAATATCGTTATTACAATTTAATATCGTTATTACAATTTAATATCCTTATTACAATTTAATATCGTTATTACAATTTAATATCGTTATTACAATTTAATTTCGTTATTCCTTTCGCTCGTCCGATATGCACATATTCAAACAATATCAAAAAATGGATGTGAATCCCCCCCCCCCCCCCCCTTTACATGTCCACAGGTAGAGTAAGAATTTATGAATTGCGTATATATTTGACTGACACAAGTGATTAATATAAGGATTAATTGAAAATATTCTTTATGAAACAACTAGAGTAGTATGTACTCTAACTGAAATCTGCTGGGGGGATTGTATGTACATGTATGTACATTTATCGTATTTTATATAAATTGCGATGAAGATTGGGAAATTCCAAACCTTGCATGTGGATAAGTTGAATTTTTCATGAAATATATTTCTCGTATATAATAACAGGTTTGTTCGAAGAACATTTTCAGAAAAAAATTGTTATTTCTTGATTTTTTTCAAACGTACAAAAATTATGAAATGGGAATTTGTACGCTTGTCTGATCGATGATAAACCACTTTAATCCCAATCTTAGATAAACATCTGACTTATTCAGCATTTTTTGAAATCATTAAATGAACTTATATTAAGAAGGCATGCAATGAATACCATGGTGCATTGTTTTAAAATATTAATTAAATCTAGACGTGAAATATAAAAATATAATGTCAAACAATACTTCAATACATAACGAAACTTTTGACGTAATCACGAATAGTAAAAGTCTGTTGAAAAATTCAAATAAATTGTCCGATTAAAGAGATTGTGGCTACTTTTAAAAATCAGATAAATTGTTCTGTTTAGCAATTCAACAATTTTGAAAAAAAAAATATTATTACCAAATAAATCATTCGAAACTTTTTTTTCTTATTTCACGTGTTCCTTTACTTTGAACAAATTATTACCTAAACATTTCGATGCAAACCGATGTCCTATGATGGTCCAAAGTTCTTCATTGTCTGTTTTATGAGCCTAGACACATTGAAAATTTTCCCGACACAGTGACGATTCAAATTTTATGCCTGCAACAGAGTAAAAATTTTGCCTCACAGTAAGATCTGTAACGATCAGAAAATAAGAAACAAATTTCCTTTAATCGAAACTTTACTGAATTAAATTATCGTTTTGCAATTTTCAATGTAGAACATATTATTTAATCTTAATTAGAGCCCATTGTATTGCATTATCAATATTAATTGGATATAATTATTGGATATTACGCATGAATGAACAAAGTCAAACCATATTTTTACTCTTCAAAGTTACCGTAAAAATGCTAGTTGCAATCAGATTATTAACATCGATTATATATCTGTCTTTACTTTTGAACACTGCATGTCTCTAAAGCCGTATTGACACTGCGAGTCAAACACATCGTATCGTACTCATTTATTATGTATTTTTGAAAAATTAAAGGCATCACCCCTAAAAATATTTCTTATTCTGAAGTTTTTTTTTAATTTCAAAAACGATTAAATGCGAGAATTATGACAAATTGTTTGGTATAGATGGTTAATAAAATTCGATTATACGACAAACAAGAATTTCATATGCTCTTCAATGTACGTGTAAAATTAATATAAAGTTATCTTGAAAAATACAAGGATTTTAAATCACAACATGCAGATACTGATACAAATATATTACATAAGTTACTTTGTTTATTTCTTTTTAAGTTCTGTGTATGTTTGGCGGGGGTTACAGATTAATTTATTTGTACAAAAATAATTGCGAATTTGATCATTGCGAATGCCGAAAATATTTCTTCTTCGTTTAAAGTTTGCTATACATTAAAATTTTAAATGATGAAGAATCCTAGTAGCCCTACCCTAAAAGGTCTATGATTTTAATAAATGTAAATCTTCATTATCTTGCATATTAAGAGTGTTTCTACGAGAAAAACATGCAAAATGTGTTGGGAAGCTAGGGTTCTCTGATCAATTTCATGCTTGTATCTAACATTATGCATACATATTTTCAGATGCTTTGCTAAAACAATCTTCAGGAGTATTACTAAAATAGGTTTTTGCATTTTTCTTTCATCTGACAAAATATTGATGTCCTAGTTAGCACAAAAATGTGACCTTGCAAGTCACGTGATGGAATTAAGTTATCTGAAGTAAAAAATAAGGTAGTGAATTATAATATTCAAAATCTCACAACCCTTTTGTTAAAAAAATCGAATGTAAGGAGAAACAGTTTTTTCTCTTTTAAGTACTATTCCACGTAAGAATCAGGCAGGTACATTGTAGCACTAATTAGGCGGTACAGTGAAAATCTGCGAATTCATTAAAACTGTGTTTAATGTATTCATCTGGGTCTAAAATGAATGATGACTTATGATTTTGTTATAATTCTCCTTTCATCACACAGCCAGGGATAAGTTTCTCAAGGGGGGTGTTGTGTATAAATTGTAAGTGGATAGTGCATATATCATGAAATAATTTCCTTAAAACCCAAGAGGATTTGGGAAAACTAAATACATGATTACAGTAATGATGGAATATGGAAAGAAAAAGTACTTTAATATTTTTGTGCAAATGAATGATTGGAAAGATAAAGGGTTACTAAATCATGGAATTTGCTACAATTCATGGTAAGAGTTATCTCCCTTAGGAAGCTTATATAGGTGGCGCTAGTAAAAAGAACAATGGCAGCCTCCATGGCCTGGCAGGCTGCTTGGCAAAGTTGTTTTGGAGCAACGTGCGTTATGTATTGCAAATATCTGAGTGAATTGACATGAATTGCACTAAAGGACTGCACAAGAACAGAATCGTACATACGTGCACGTGTAAACGAAGTGAATAATCTGTTAAGAGAGACGGTGACGGTGAGCTTTTATCAGCAACTTGTGTATAACATGACTATAGAATTACCAGATTGGTCAAGGTAATACATGTACTTATATCAGTATGGTCAATGTCGGAAGTTAAGCTTGCAAGGTCATCCACCAAAATCCAAAAGTGAGCCCCCAGACAGGGATGACCGTCCGAATGTGTCCGCTTACTCAACTTGGAAAGGGGAAGTAATGTAGTTTTGAAAGAGGTAAGATTTAATAAGCAGGGTAAATTGACAGTTATAAATGATTATTGATTACAGTTTATTTATCTGTTAAACAGTAAATTATATTTATTGGGGTGGTCAGTTCATGATGTGTAATTTAAAATGTGACATCATAAGCTTAGTAATTGTTATGTACAATCATTGTAAAACTTGGCCAGATTAAAGGGATTTGAGGGGAATGTTTTTTAGTATTTGTACATGCAGTTCAGTTTAATAAGTTATAGTAATCTAGTATAAAAATGAAGAAGCATACATCATTTATTAAATATGTTAAAAGTGATAAATTTTATAGGTTTTATTTTTTATTTTTAATTTAGTGTCTTAAACTTTTCTCTTTTAAAATTCCAGGTGTACTCAATGTATAACCAGCTGATAACCAAGTGACTGAAACAGAAGAGTTTGTATCTCATAGTCATTGCCTCAGTTGACCTGAACTAGAAGATGTCAAAACATTTCAGTGGTAAGGGTCAGTCTGTTTTGCATGCAGAGACACTGCACATGTGCTTAAACTGTCCACACCAAAGCTGCTAAAATATAAGGCCCTCTGTTTTAATTATACTCATACATACATGTGGCATTTGTACGTTAGTATGAACATTCAGTGGGATATAATTGATTAAAAAAAACAAATATGTATATAAAATAACAGCACACCAAAATTTTTCATCAGCACTGATGTCAAAATTTGGCCAGCCAGCATCACATTTAACAACCCCCCCCCTCCCCCCCCACACACACACCACCACCATCACTGCCAGCCACAATGTTTTGTGTTCTTTAGCCATTTAAAGATGGCCATTGAAAATGACTAATAAATACCTGACCTAAACATGGACAGAAAAAAATACATATAACTGTGATATCAAATTATAACAGGATGTAAATAATTAAACACGATAAAGATATTTTGTTCAGAAGAAATGCTTTTAACTTTTTTTTTTCTTTAAAAATTACAATAATTAATGATAGAATATAAATAGATATACATGTATCATGTGTATACTGAAAATTCAGAACAGGTTATTGCTGACTTACATTTTACTGACATAACTAAGGTTTTTATCAAGCTAGTCTCTTTGAAACAGTCTAATGTGGTTTGTATATCTTATTCATTAGAATCAGGGTTGTTAAATTGATGTATTAAATTTTTGGTTTTTACATGTACCTGTTTTTATGTCCGGCCATGAATATAGCCTTAATAGATATAGCATATAGTGTTTGTCATGTCCATCTTCCATCCTTCAGTCTGTCCTTCCATAACATTTTGTGTTTATCTCAGTTTGAAAGAAACTATTCAAGAGATTTTTATAAAACTTCATATGCTGATGCATATATATTGAATTATTGATAAAAGCTATTCAACTGCATCACCATTTTTTTGACCTTGACCTTTGCTTAGACATTGACGTCACTTCTTAAATAAGTGTTTAGTTCAGTTTAAAAAAAAAACCCTTTAAGATATTTTTATCAAACTTCATATGCTGAAACATATAGATATATTCAGTTCAACTGCATCAACATATTTATACCTTGACCTTAACTTCACATTCCTTTAAATAGTGTTGAGCTCAATTTCATAGAAACTATTCAAGATATTTATATGAAAGCTTAAATGCTGATGCATATTGGTGAGAGCTATTCAACTTCATCAATATTTTTTACATTGCCCTTTCCTTACCTTTGACCTTGCAGACTTCATTTTTCTTAAATTTATTTTAAGTTTCAATGAAACCATTCAATATGTTCAAGACATTTTTAATTGAACTTACTATGCTGATACATAATTGATGTAAGCCATTCAACTTCATTTTTTACCTTGACCTTTATTTTGACCTTGAGCTATTCAAAGGGGAAGAAAATAGGGTGAAGTCTGAAAAATCTTTTTCTCATTAGGCCATTCCAAGTTTTTTTTACGTTTAGCATCCACCCATCTTTCAAATACCTACCTACCTATTCGCAAAAAACACACAAACCAAAAAATAAAGCACAAGACTTCATAGTCATAAAAATGATGCTTTTCAAAGGATTGATTCCATTAATCTATTTTTCTCAAAATATCTATTCTTCAGCAAAATCAAGGTATTAAATGCTTACAATATTCAAAATATGACATTTTGTAGACAAATACTTTGAGAAATTGACAGAATTCAGTGATTTTGACCAGAATAAACAATTTCAGGACTCCTGATTTTGTTTGTTTTTCTGATATGGGGTGTCAAAAAACCAAGGCTCACGCGGACGCTAAACATAGAAAAAACTTGGAATGGTCTTAACCAACAGAATTTTCCTCAACTGAGCTAAAAGCTCATGCTTATCAAATCACTTGTTATTCATTGTCTATCCATCTTCCTATCTCCCTGTAAGCTTTTCACATTCCTTATAATTCTCCAGAACATCTGCACCAATTTAGATAAACTTGGCACCAAGAATGGCATATGTGAAGGGAATTAAAAAGGAGAGAGCATTGTAGAAATCACATTGTACATCCATCTGTCAGTTTGTCATCACTTTTGTTGTTGCAAGATTCAACATTATGTTTTTAGATTTGTACAGAATTTCTTTATTGTACGAAAACAAAAACACATTCAAGGGTTATTTCACTTTGTATGTTTGTCTGCATGTATGTCTAAAAGTATTTTCATTGACACTTTTGTTGTGATGCAATAACTCAGTTTTTAGCTCTACTGGTCAGAAACCAGAAGAGCTTATGTGATAGTAAGGTGTCCATTGTCCATCTGTCTGTCAGTCTGTCAAATTGTAAACAATTTTTCAAATCGCTACTCCTCCTGCAGTTTTGGTCTGATTTCAGTATAACTTGGCACACGAGTAGACTACACTAAGATACATTATTAAGTGCATTGTTTTTTTATACCCCCCCCCCCCGCAAACGAAGTTTAGGGGGTGTATATTGGAATCCGCATGTCCGTCTGTCTGTCCGTCTGTCTGTAGACGAGATTTTGTCCGGACCATTTCTTGGAAACTGTTACAAGGATTTGTCTGAAAATTTGTACACTTATTATTCACCATATGAAGGTGTGCACCTGGTATTTTCATCATGATTGGATAATTTTTTTGCATTTTACAGGTGTTTTTTTCATTTTTATTATGTGGTTTTGTCCAGATCTTTTCCCAGAGACTATTGCATAGATTTGTATGAAAATTTGTACACTTATTATTTACCATATGAAGATGTGCACCTGGTATTTTCAACATTATTTGAGAATTTTTCTGCATTTTACAGGTGTTTTTTTTTTCATTTTTATTGACTTCATGTCTAAGGTTTGAGACCTAGAATCTAGAACATCTGTACAAAAATGTGAACTACAGCTTAAAACTACTCATTAGAACTATAAAAAAATCACAAAATACTAAAAACAGTTTTTACATTACACAGCAGATAGTGTAAATCTATTTGTCCCTTTGGAGTAATGAGTGGACATGCATCCAGTTAAAGATTAATTAATGAGTTCAGTGTGGGAAGCTGTTAGGGCATCTCTGATCAAGCAGGTCTTATCTATATGTCCTGGGAATTGGGCAGAAAGAAATAAAGATCTCTGTTGTCTAAGCCTCTTAATTTTAATTTATGTCTGTCAAAATACATAGATACTGAAACCAGCCTTTTATTTTTAAAATGAATTTGATATAAAGGTATTAAGATCAATTTGACTTTGTATAATTAATTATGATATTTTTTTTCAACAATCAATTTGCAGAGTGTCATGTCTCACAAAGATGACGGATAGTTGCAAACTATTTTTTTTCAATGTAATAAAAAACACTGAAATTATTAGTATTTGTGTTTTATTAGGCTGCACATTAGTTTTATTCATTACAAAAAATATAATGAGTAATTAAATTTTCACTCTAAGAACTCGGATCTGTTTCCAGAGATTATTGCATAGATTTGTATGAAAATTGTACACTTATTATTTACCATATGAAGATGTGCACCTGGTATTTTCAACATTATTTGAGAATTTTTCTGCATTTTACAGGTGTTTTTTTTTTTTCATTTTTATTGACTTAGTCATTTCAGGTTCATGTCTATGGTTTGAGACATAGAATCTAGAACATCTGTACAAAAATGTGAACTACAGCTTAAAACTACTCATTAGAACTATAAAAAAACCCACAAAGTATTAAAAACATTTTGTACATTACACAGCAGATAGTGTAAATCTATTTGTCCCTTTGGAGTAATGAGTGGACATGCATCCAGTTAAAGATTAATTAATGAGTTCAGTGTGGGAAGCTGTTAGGGCATCTCTGATCAAGCAGGTCTTATCTATATGTCCTGGGAATTGGGCAGAAAGAAATAAAGATCTCTGTTGTCTAAGCCTCTTAATTTTAATTTATGTCTGTCAAAATACATAGTTACTGAATCCAGCCTTTTATTTTTAGAATGAGTTTGATATAAAGGTATTATGATCAATTTGACTTTGTATAACTAATTATGATTTTTTTTTTTCAACAATCAATTTGCAGAGTGTCATGTCTCACAAAGATGACAGATAGTTGCAAACTATTTTTTCAATGTAATAAAAACACTGCAATTATTAGTATTGGTGTTTTATTAGGCTGCACATTAGTTTCATTCATTACAAAAATATAATGAGTGATTAAATTTTCACTCTAAATGTTTAAGCAAATTGTGAACACCTCTCACATCTAGAAAACATTAGTGATTTGGTACCTTCTCTGAAAAACCCAGCGGGGGGTATTTGTCCCTTTTGGACAGTTTTAGTTTTATTTCTATGAACGGTGTTGCCATGGTCACTGAAAATAGAAATTTCTGTAAAATTCCTTTAAAACGCTACTCCTCCTACAGTTTTGGTCTGATTTCAATATAGCTTGGCTCAAAAGTAGACTAAGATACATAATTTAGTGCATTGGTTTTTGATTTCGATGAATTGTGTTGCCATGGTTACTGAAATAGAAATTTCTATGAAATACTTTCAAAATGCTACTCCTACAGTTTTTGTTTGATTTCAATATGACTTGACACATAAGTAGACTACATTAAGATACATAATTCTATTTATTGCTGCATGTTGCAAAGTTTCAAATCCAAGTGCTACTTTTCCTTTGTTATGCGTACAGACCAGTAGAGTTACAGTCTCATCAGAGACTTCTGGTTAACATAACATTTTTTAAATTTTATACAGAAGCTCTTTACTGTAAGAGAAAAACACCTATGCATTTTGGGGTCACATCGCTTAGTCTGTTTGTCTGTATGTACATTCAAATAGTTATACATATCCATTGACACCTTTGCTACATGTATGAAACGATAACTCAAGCAGTTTTTTAATGAATTGTTTTCAAATATTACTGAAGTACTTAACTGTAGAGAAAAGCATTACTTGGTCATGCAGGTCTGTTTATATATATGTTTGAATGTATATTTGCTGTGACCCAATAAGTCAACAGGTTTCATCATTTCTATTTAAATTAGTTTTT